TACTGCCTCCCCTTTATTCCTGCTGTGCTTTGTGCCATTGCAACGTAATTTCATTTTGATGCAAATCCAAATGATGAAATAAAGTCTAAAAAGTACAATAAAGAATCACAGAATAAGAATATTAAAAAATATTATTAAAAAATAAGATTATAATTATAATAATACACTAGATGCAATATAGTGTGCACAATATCTTGAGCAGCGTAACTAAACTGTACATGTGCAATTTAAAGATAATAGTTTGACTTCAGTGAATATTCTTAAATATTGTAGTGACAGTAATGGTTTTCATGGCACGCCAGGAAATTTACTGGAAGATTTCCAAGTTAAGCAGATGTGTAATAGTAGCTGTTACAATAGAAAACATACACATGTATCCTGGAGGCCGTGGAGTCTCCTGCACTGTGAATAAATATTCTGCAGCTGCTTAGAAAGGACTCATGGGAACCCTGGGGCTAATTTTAGGGCTCTTTTATCAAATGAATCTACTGCTCATTTAGCAGTCGGTGCTAGATTAATCATGTGGAGGCCTATTCCAGAGTCCTGGCTGGAAATCAGGCTGTAAAATGTTTCGGATCAGACTATACTGAGGGAATAATTTACCCAAACTCAGTCCGATAAAGGAAACAAGAACAAAAGCGAAGAGCTTTAAATAATAAATAATAAATAAATACAAGCCAGCAACAGCGACACATTATTTGTGAACATCGAAGATATAAAATAGTGTTTTTTTTAATTAAAATAAGCAGTGTAAACAAATATAACTTAAAAACGAACACGAGAACAAATTAATGTATTAAATGAAACTCGGGAGGAAAAGTTGTTGAATTAAAATACACCCATAAACAAAAAAAAAGCATCCAAATGTCGATTATATATAAAATAAAAATAATAAAAAAACGATCTATTGTTTCGTCCCGGCTGCGTCATCACTCAGCGCCCATTCAGCGGGAGCGTCGCGGCGTTTGAAGCGTCCACACCTGCAGCTGCTTTAAAAGACTGTTTGCGTCCCAATAATCGATTCCGGGGGGAACCGAGATGATCGATATGATCGAGAAGGAGGACCCGGTCATCAGCGAGGAGGAGGCGGCGCAGTACGACCGACAGATCCGGTTGTGGGGCCTCGATGCCCAGAAGAGGTCCGTTAGCTCCGTTAGCTCCGTTAGCTCCGAGTTGTCGCTGTCTGCGCCGGTTTTTAAACAAAGTGATTGATTTATCGAGTTTAATCGATTAGGAAACAGCTGGGGGTTTGATTAGGTATCGGATTATGTTGTGTGGGGAGCATTTATCGACAGGATCGATGCTTTTATAGCTCGAGTCTCTGCACTGATGTGAAAACCGCCTGCCTTGTTTTTTGTCTCTGAGCTGATTAAAGTGAGAAAGAGGACGAAAGCAAAGAGTTTCCCTGAATAAAGGAGAAGTTACAGTCAAGTTAACAGACTAAAGTGTTCTTTAACACACATTTTTAATATTTATAAAGTAAACTTCATGTAAATAAAATCCACAAAGCCTCAAATCAGTTCAGTCAGAGACGGTTTCATCTTAAACACTTTTGTTTCTTGTGATAGTGAAGTCATTTAAGTTTGGATTACCTTTATGTTGTAGCTGAATTAGTTTCTCTAGAGCAAGGTGGTTGTTTTTTAATGAGCCCTGCAGTTCAAATAAAGGTTAATTAACTGATCTGTCTCTTGAACACAACACAAAATCACCTTTTAAAGCTTCTAAAGTGGGAATCATTTCAGTAATCGCTTTCCTTCTGGTTGACGCGCAGTCTGCTTTTTGTTTTCAACAGGTTGCGAGGGTCCCGTGTGCTCCTGGTGGGTTTAGGGGGTCTGGGGGCAGAAGTGGCCAAGAACTTAATCCTGGCTGGAGTTAAAGGACTCACTTTACTGGATCACGAACAGGTACACGTCAATGAAATGTATTCTTATAAATCATCTAAGAACTAAACATCTGGGTGATTCTTAACCCAAAGGTATGTTGGATCATTAGATGTCCTTATGTGGTGAACTTCAGTCTGCAGTGCGATGTGAGTCCACTAGATGGAGCCGGTGACAAAGTAAATGTTTTTCACTAATAAGGAAACAAACTGGCTGTTTCACATTATTTTAATAACATTTTAATAACATGTTAATTCTGGCTTCATATCACATTTTGAAGTGTAATTTTATTCTATAACATGCAGAACTTTGTCCTGTATAACTCCATAAACATATTCTTTTAAAGGTGTCCACTGGTGTTAATTATATTCATCTAAATCACCTCCAGTCAGAGCTGTAATCTGTTGAGTAAAGAGCACAATCCTCTCCGTGCTGTCCGTTTGTTTTGCCCACCAGGCGTCGGAGGAGTCCTGTCGAGCTCAGTTCCTGGTTCCGGTGACGGCTCGGGGTCAGAATCGAGCCCGGGCCTCTCTGGAGCGAGCGCAGAACCTCAACCCGATGGTGGAGGTCCACGCCGACTCAGACAGAGTCGAAGACAAACCAGATGACTTCTTTCTGCAATTTGACGCGGTGAGTGGAAATGGAAGTTAATTAAAGACAGACAAAAACAAATAAAAGGGACATTTGAGATGGAAGCTGATTAATTTAACTTAAAGTACAACACATCTGGCTTTTCTGGGGATCAAATGTTACAGGAAAGATACAGTCTGAGACTTAAAGCACGAGAGAGATGTTTATTAGTTACCTCTTCACATTCCTGGGTTCATTCTTTTGTATGTTTTTTTAATTTGTGTTGATAGACCGCGTTATGTAACCTGGAGGTCCAGTCCAGATACAGACTGACTGGGACTGTTTGTACAGTAGCACCGTTTCCTCTCTGATACTTTAAACTCATGTGAGAGTCCAGCCTTGTATCACTCAGTCCGACCACTAGATGTCACTTGTAGTCCGTATTGTTCAGGTCCAGTGACTGAAACACCTGTTTTAAGTTAAAGTGGGGATGCAGTGAGTGGAGAAGAAACTTTAATGTCCCAGACGGGCAGTTTGATTTACAGACAGCAGTCCAACACAAATACAAACACACACACAGATCCATATTGAGACACAATGACATTTGGGGTTATAGTTTGTTTAAAAAAAGCAATGGGAACAAAGGACAATCTGTATTTATTTGTGCTACCTTTAGGGAGATTAAACCTCCTCCCTGATGGAAACATCTGGAACTCAACGTGTAAAGGTTATTGAGGTGATTCTCACTTAATACAGCTACTGAAGGTCAGTAAAGTTAGCACCAATACTCCTGCAGCTACGAAATATAGCAAAAATC